ATAGCGTGTTAGACCCGTGTTTGTGTGGAAAAAAATGAATATGAATGTATGTATATACATATATACCCTCGCATTTATACATTTATGTATGTGTATGCATGTATTTGGGCTGACTTAGTGTGCCTAAGGAAATGCGTAGATGAATATAAGCATTAATTCATACGCAATTGCGAATTATACGCAATATTAATTCATATTCTGTATAAGGCTTGCGTCACAGCATATAAGTGAGAGAGGGAAAGTTAGGAGTATATGAAAATTTTTGTTATATCAGAAATACGAGGGGGGGGGAATTATTTTAGCATATTTTTCATTGACTTTTTATACACTTTTGGGCCTGAAAGTGTAAAAGTGTGTATATGTTACATACAAGTCTTATATATGTGTTTCAATGCCCCTGGAAGTGTGTGTGTGTGTGTGTGTGTGCGTGTTTGTGTGTGTGTGTGTGTGGCGTGTTTTGTGTGTGTGTGTGTGTGTGTTGTGTGTGTGTGTGTGTGTGTGTGGTGTGTGTGTGTGTGTGTGATGTGTGGGGGGGGGGAGGAGGGTAATTTTTAGGTTTCGAAATAGCTATTGGCAGCTTGGGGGCTGCCAGATATATAAGCCACGATTTATCCCAACCATTTGACCCAAACCACTTAACGAAACCTGTTCATCTTTCCTCTGACTCTCGGCGGCTTGGCTTACATTTATTAAAACAGTTTACGAGCTTCACAGCAGTTCAGAGCATGATATATATATATATATATATATATATATATATATATATATATATATATATATATATATATATATATATATATATATATATATATGTGTGTGTGTGTGTGTGTGTGTGGTGACAAACTGAAACTCTGGGAATGGGTGAAATTTGCGCCATTAGACTGAAATGGAAAGGGAATGAGTATGGTGAGGGAGAATGGGGGGGGGAGGGTCGTGGGTGAGAGAGAGAGAGGGAGGGGAGAGAGTTTGAGAGGTGCAGGGGGGGGGGACAGAGAGAGGTTGAATAATCGTGTTTTAATAATGAGGGGAATCAATAATATCAGCGGTGTAGGGGGGGGGGTGAGGGGAATGGCAAGAGGGGGAGGGGATTGTGGCTTGACACCCCCATCACCCCCCTTTCTCCCCCCTTTCTCCCCCCTTTCACCCCCCTTTCTCCCCACAGCTCCTGTGTAATATCGATCTCTCATGCACTAGAGGGCGCGGCTACCATGCACGCCTCTCCCCCATCTCTCGTTCCCCTCACCCCCCCCCCCCCCCCCCCTGGCATGACTCATGACACGAGGGGTGGCGCCAGGAACGGCCATATTGGAAGGCAGGAAGAAAGGGGGAGAGGGGAAAGTAAAGAAAGAGGAACAATAAAGAAAGGAGAAAGGAATAAGATACTGAGAACAGGTCTCAAATGTAACTGTGTTTTCGTGTTCATTCCATTAGTTCATTCCATTTTCCAGCTACTTTTACTCTAAACGAAAATGAGTTTATGAGTAAAATGAGTCAATATTTCTAACATATCTATAGGGGTTCATCTGAGTCTCGGGGTTTCATTCACCTGGGTTATAGGGGACTCGAACCTGGACCCCCACGTGTGTAAGGCCGACCTCACTGTTACTGGGTACTGAATGGTCCGACAAAATCTGAGTCTTTTATATATATAAAAAGCTCCACTTTTCTGCATTATTTTGATTCTTTTCCACCTCACAATTTGCGTACCGGATTCTTCAGGCTTCGTACTCACGGTTCCAAGCTCGATCCCCCAGCACCCTCTGTCTTGGGGGGTGTTATGGGCGGATTGGTGAAGTGACGATGTGTTTTACGAAAGTTTTGTAGATTGAGGGAAGGATTAGGGTACAGTGGCTCTGGCTGTATGTGGGGATTGGGATTAGGAGTGGGGGAGTAGGGGGGGGTGGTGAAGGGGTGTATTGGGGGAGGGGATATTGGGGGGGGGACTAAGCGGAGATGGGGATTTGTATAGCAGGGAGGAGGGGGGGGAATATGTGTCTGTGTGTACTTACCTGTTTGTGCTGCATGATGTTGAGAAATGGTGGTGAACAGTGTTAGAGAACAGCGGTAGAGAACAGTGGTAGAGAACAGCGGTAAAGAACAGTGATAGAGAACAGTGGTGGTGGAACAGTGATAGAGAACAGTGGTGGTGAACAGTGTTAGAGAACAGTAGTGGTGAACAGTGTTAGAGAACAGCGGTAGAGAACAGTGGTGGTGAAACAGTGTTAGAGAACAGCGGTAGAGAACAGTGATAGAGAACAGTGGTGGTAAACAGTGTTAGAGAACAGCGGTAGAGAACAGTGGTAGAGAACAGTGGTGGTGAAACAGTGTTAGAGAACAGCGGTAGAGAACAGTGGTGGTAAACAGTGTTAGAGAACAGCGGTAGAGAACAGTGGTGGTGAAACAGTGTTAGAGAACAGTGATAGAGAACAGTGTTAGAGAACAGCGGTAGAGAACAGTGATAGAGAACAGTGATGGTGAACAGTGTTAGAGAACAGCGGTAAAGAACAGCGGTAGAGAACAGTGGTGGTGAACAGTGTTAGAGAACAGCGGTAAAGAACAGCGGTAGAGAACAGTGTTAGAGAACAGCGGTAAAGAACAGCGGTAGAGAACAGTGATGGTGAACAGTGTTAGAGAACAGCGGTAAAGAACAGCGGTAGAGAACAGTGGTGGTGAACAGTGTTAGAGAACAGCGGTAAAGAACAGCGGTAGAGAACAGTGTTAGAGAACAGCGGTAAAGAACAGCGGTAGAGAACAGTGGTGGTGAACAGTGTTAGAGAACAGCGGTAAAGAACAGCGGTAGAGAACAGTGTTAGAGAACAGTGGTGGTCCGGTAATGGACTCTGACCATCTGTCTCTCATTCATATCCATTATTATTCCTCATTTCCTCATTTCCTGGTCCCTTCAGACACCTGCCTCGCTATCCTCCTCCTCCTCTCTCTCTTCTTATTCCTTCTCTCACATTTTCCCTCCTTTCTCCTTCATCTTTCTCATTTCTTTCTCATAATCTTGCTATTCTTCCCATTTCTCTTATTCGCCATCTCTTTCTCTTTCATTTGTATTCCTTTTTTTCTTTCTCTTTGCCATTTCATTCTCGTTATTCTCTCATGTGTTTCTCTTCCTCATTCTGATGTTTCTTATTCTGTTCTTCCTACTCCACTTCCCCTTTACCTTTAGTCTTGTATTCCTTCTTATCCCTTTCATTTCATCGTTATTTTCCCCCCATATTGCTGTTCCTATCATGTTCTCTTTCTGTTATTCATGCTGTTCCTCCTCCTCTTTCTTTCTCCGCTTGTTCTGTTTCGCCTCCTCCCTTGCTCTTCCTTTCTCAACTCCTTCCTGTATTCTTCTCTTTCATCTCCGCCTTCTGATTCTCTTTTGATCCTCTCCTCCTGTTTCTCGTCTGATATTCTCTTGATTCTCTGCTGATTCTCTCTAGATCCTACCTTCCTGATCCTCTTCTGGCCCTCTCCTCCTGTTTCTCTTCTGATATTCTCTTGATTCTCTGCTAATCCTACCTTCCTGAACCTCTTTTGATCCTCTCCTCCTCTTTCTCTTCTGATATTCTCTTGATTCTCTGCTAATCCTACCTTCCTGAACCTCTTTTGATCCTCTCCTCCTCTTTCTCTTCTGATATTCTCTTCATTCTCTCTAGATCCTACCTTCCTGATCCTCTTTTGATCCTCTCCTATTTCTCTTCTGATATTGTCCTGATCCTCTGCTGATCCTCTGTTGATCCTACCCTGCTGATGCTCCCTGGCCTCACAATACCCCGGGTGCGCCCTGTAGCGAAGCTCAGTAATGGTGGTGGGAGTTAAGGGCTCTTCGAGAGGTGTTTGGTGACCATTAGAGGCCTCTATCACTGTGTGGGGGGGGGGGTAAACAACGAGTCTTAGAGGGAGGGAGGGAGGGAGAGAGAGAGAGAGAGAGAGAGAGAGAGAGAGAGAGAGAGAGAGAGAGAGAGAGAGAGAGAGAGAGAGAGAGAGAGACGCGGATAATGCATGGACTTACTGCTATATTTTTGTATTTTTTAATATTTTCTTTTGTAATATTTTGCTGTGAGACAGTCGGTAAATTTCTCCGTGTGTGGTTGAGGGCGAGTGGAGACGTCTGTCAAAGCCATGTAGGCATTCAGACAGGGGGAGAAACAGACACTCAAGATACAGACTAGTGTCCCTCAAATTTTTTTTTTGTTTTTTTTTTGTTTTTTGAGATATATACAAGAGTTGTTACATTCTTGTACAGCCACTAGTACGCGTAGCGTTTCGGGCAAGTCCTTAATCCTAAGGTCCCTGGAATACGATCCCCTGCCGCGAAGAATCGTTTTTTCATCCAAGTACACATTTTATTGTTGCGTTAAACAGAGGCTACAGTTAAGGAATTGCGCCCAGTAAATCCTCCCCGGCCAGGATACGAACCCATGATATAATGCAAGGTAATGAACGTAAAATAAGAGAGGACAGTGGAACATCTGGAAAGAAGAGATTTGATATCACAACACCAGAATGGGTTCAGGGATGGCAAATCCTGCCTCACAAATTTTATAGTCTTCGACGAGGCAGCGGAGATGAGACAAGATAGAGAAGGATACGGAGGGAGGGAGGTTATCTTCTTGAGCTTATCTTGAGATGATTTTGGGGCTTAGTGTCCCCGCGGCCCGGTCCTCGACCAGGCCTCCACCCCCCAGGAAGCAGCCCGTAGCAGCTGTCTAACTCCCAGGTACCTATTTACTGCTAGGTAACAGAGGCATCAGGGTGAAAAAAAAACATTTTGCCCGTTTGTCTCCACCGGGTCCTCACGAGGTCGAGGACCGGGCCGCGAGGACACTAAGCCCCGAAATCATCTCAAGATAACCTCAAAATAACCTACCTACCAGTGGACGCACGAAGCTCCAGGACCTCGACAAGTTGTGTTCACTCGGTCAAGTGGCTACTTGACCTTAACACAGTAAATGTAAGGCAATGAGAGATAGGAGAAGGCATCAGAGGCCAAGAATGCCAGAAACGTTTCAAGTAGCACGGGCTATGGTGAGCCCGTAACTTACCTGGCACAGGAGCGGGGCAAGTAGCACGGGCTATGGTGAGTCCGTAACTTACCTGGCACAGGAGCGGGGCAAGTAGCACGGGCTATGGTGAGCCCGTAACTTACCTGGCACAGGAGCGGGGCAAGTAGCACGGGCTATGGTGAGCCCGTAACTTACCTGGCACAGGAGCGGGGCAAGTAGCACGGGCTATGGTGAGCCCGTAGCGCCTGACGCAGCAGTGAACTTGACACTATATTGCCCCGAGGAAACACGTCACCTTGCACGACGTCTGCGTCATATGCACGACTGATGAACACATTAGCTTTTAAAACCCCCTTGTCTTAAGATGGCCCCTCAGGGAACAGTACAGCACCTACGTGAGACCAGTACTAGACTATGCAGCCCCCCCTTTCATAAAGTCCCCTACCTGAGAAACGTAAAACAAATCAAAGAGATGGTAAGTAGTTTACTGCAAGGTTAATCCTAAAATTAAAGAGATGAGAGAGAGAGAGAGAGAGAGAGAGAGAGAGAGAGAGAGAGAGAGAGAGAGAGAGAGAGAGACTGAGAGAGAGAGAGACAGAGAAACAGAGTGAGAGACAGAGAGAGAGACAGACAAAGAGACAGAGAGACAGAGAGAGAAAGAGAGAGAGATAGAGAGAGAGAGAGAGAGAGAGAGAGATAAGTTCATGATAGGAAACCACAGAACAGTTGCTGACCCAAATGAGCCACAATGATATGTAAGGAAACCTTTCTTCTATGTACAAGAGTATATATTGATTGATTGATAAAGAATTAAACCACACACAAGAGGTGGCACGGGCATGAATACCCCGTAACCCCTCCCCCCCTGGATGGTGTAGTCCTCGTGGATATGGTGACGGCAATCACCAGTGAATGCTCGGTGTGTGATGACTCACGGATCACCCTGCATGACTAGTGAACAGGTTCTTGTTATCGATTACACACGGTACACAGTCCATGAGTGTGTTCTCATTTGTTCACACGCGTGTGTGTGTGTGTGTGTGTGTGTGTGTGTGTGTGTGTGTGTGTGTGTGTACTCACCTAGTACACACATTGTGTGTGTGTGTAATGGGATGTATGTGTGCTCGCGATTGGAGTTATATGTGTATGTATCCTTTAGTTATTATGTATCTTTACCTATCAGAACACGCGGTGGGGGATGGATCTTAGCTCTTGGGTCCCTGCTGTGTGTTACTCTCGATTTCTGGGGCATTTAACCACCAGTAATGTCCGCCTTCAAGTAGACACATCTACTGTCTCCAGTCACATACAATGTACCAGACATATATTATCTACAAATCTACTATCTACCATCCGTGTTATATATTACACATTATATAAACCATACACTAAACAATCACTATCTACCAGACATATCTACGATCTACCCAGACACATCTACGATCTACCCAGACACATCTACGATCTACCCAGACACATCTACCGTCTACCAGACGTCTCGGGCACATTTCCTGTTGTAAAAGGGGCCATAAAAGAGGGTAGAGAGATAACAAGGGGAGAGACTTTAATCTGAGGGGAAAATAGCCCATCCGAATATGGCGCTACTCATCCCAGGGAAAGGAGGGGGGATTGTGGGGGTGAGGGGAGGGGTTGTTGGGGGTGAGGGGAGGGGATTGGGGGTGAGGGAATAGGGGATAAAAAGGAAAGATTACGAAACTAGCATTAGGGGAAAGGGGGAAGAATGCGATGTTGGGAGGAGAGAGAGAGAGAGAGAGAGAGAGAGAGAGAGAGAGAGAGAGAGAGAGAGAGAGAGAGAGAGAGAGAGAGAGAGAGAGAGAGACAGAGAGACAGAGACAGAGAGAGAGAGACTGTCCAGATCAAATTTTAACGTTAATAAAACACAATAATTGCCTTCATCAAGGAAAATGTATAATTAATAATTTATGATATATGATAATATAAATGTATCAATTAGCCAATCAGTTAGCCCGGCAGCCAACCAATCAAATGGCTCACAATCA